TTGCTGGGGACAAAGTTACAATGAAGAACGTTGGACAATGAATGTAATATATTTCAACAGAACAGAGAGGAGCACCTGTATAGACATAAAACTTGAACTAATCTATACTGATGAGGACCATCATGAGGTGTATTTAGTCACCGTAAACGTAATCTCCCTCATTTAGGGTCATGAATGCGAGGTTGCGATCTGTGGCGTAACTGAGCCAGGGCTCAATCCTAACGATAAGTGTCTTAGGAGATAGGGAAGGAAAACCTTGACTTAAGGCGAGAATAACTGCGAATCCACTAGTTAGACCAGTGAGCTAACTGAGAATGTATTGTGTTCGTTCTTTCTGCGCAGAAAGAAGCGGTTTGCTTTCGCGCTTGCCACAGTCTGCATCTTCTATTAAATCTAAAAAGTACCGCACACACCATTTCCCTGTACAAAGGTAGAGTTGAGCGAAGTGGTAAATTGGCTGAAAACTGCAGCAATGTTGAGCAATATCACAACTGATTCATATTAGCCCAGTTTGCAGTTAATAAATGCAAATAGGTGGTCATAATACTTGATAAAGCAACTGTTCTGATTCTAATTTATGGGAATGAAGATGACCAGCCAGTCTGAGGTCGTCGATGAACACGTAGCGCCCAGACAAGCTTAGGGGTGGTTCAGTTTAAACATCATATCGGGGCTAATAAGGGTAATTATGCACTTGAAGTGAAAATTCAGGGCAATCACTCTGATGAAAAATACAACTCATATTAGAAAGTGAAAGTGTAAAGATGGTAGCCTACTAGTCCATCCTTTGTATTATGAAAGAAATAAAGCGGTGACATGGGAATGAACGGGGGACGGGGGATACAGACCTAGGTCTCTTAAGAAGACATCATTTTTATGAATTTTTTACTCATAAGTCCCTCTTTTTGGGCCTCCTCCTACTCGGATCCCACTCGCTTCGCTTGCTAATATATGAGGGTAAATCTGTCACTCGCGTTTGGAGTTTTAAATAAACAGCGCGCCAGTGCACGTACAAGCATTATTGGTAACATTACTTACAATCCCATCACTCTGGCTTTCTGTCAATAAAACCCCCCGTAAAGAACATCAGCGGAAAACCCCTGGTGGAAGCTAGGCCACAGAGTCATGCGTCTTTGTCATTTTGCACCGATGTCTGATGTGTATCACGTCTTTAACAGGCGGGCAGTGACCAGGGCCCCGTAACTCGAAAGCATCGCGAATTGCGATAACGATATCACCTTTCATTTTGAGGCCGAGTTGTGGAATAGAGACGCTTGCACTCGATCGCAATTCGCGATGCTTTCGGGTTACGGAGATTAAGGGCGGATCCAGAATTTTTTGAAGGGGGGGGGGGGAGGGGGGGGGCGTGACAGGCCTCAATATGCGAGGCCTACCCTCACCCCCTTGGCGTCAGGTTTCGGGGCACGCTTCGGGGCCCCGAAAAAAATTGGTGTCTTGGATTGGTATTTAGAACTGTTTCAGGTATACGTGTTTTTGTCACGTATTTCTTCAGAAATCGAAGAGGGGCTCGGGACCCCCCTGATCCCCCCCTAAATCCGCCACTGTGACATACCTCGTCAAGTGGTCTTTAATGCAAAATTACTGCTTGTACAGTATTTCATGATTGGATGTATACTACCGGACACTATCTTTCCTCCACCTCAACAGTTACTTATAGCAAGAACTTCTTGCTTATAGCGTCGCAGTGTCCATTAATACTGTCGCTGGTAAGGCAATTGTCAGCGCTAAGACAATAATACGTCAGAGCGACAGTTAACTCAGGTGGTCGATATGGGTCGGTATTTGAAATGTCAATAAAACCCGGGCCCCGATAAAAATTGATGTCTTGGATTGGTGTTTAGAACTGTTTCAGGTATACGTGTTTTGGCGCGTATTTCATCAGGAATCGAAGAGGGAGTCAGGACCCCGTTGACCCCCCCCCCCCAAATCCGCCACTGACATACACCAGTTAACTCAGGAGGTAGATATGGGTCGGTATTTGAAATGTCGATAAAACCTATGAATGATTGAATGGTAATATTAAGATTACTATGGCAACCCCGAATAATAAATTGACAAAAAAATCGGTGTCTAAAAAGTTACTTTTTATTTTGATTTATGTTATGAAAGATATGAAAGAATCTGTCTCGCTGTTTTACTCCATGAAAAGCCACGTAATGGTAAATCAATTGATTCTTTAGTCAACGTTAATCCGGACGATTTATCAGCATTAATCAAGTTCGGTGCTAAATTCACACCGCCAAGAACAACTGAGCGAGTTTTTTTTCGTGAATACGCATTCATTATCAAATCAGACAAAAACACTCTATGCCGTCACAGATGCGAGTCCACATTAATGGGATGAAGTGATAAATGGAAAGTGAGATCAAAATTAATTTGGTTTTATTAGTGTACATTGTAGCCTCATATCTCCTTTAAGTGAAGCCCACGGAGAGAGTGAAGCCGATTTCTTACAAAATGCTCGACTGGAGACGGTTCAGTTGGGGGTCTACGGAAAGCAGATTGACGCACACATTTTTGCGGTTCAGGAAATTAAACTTATATCTCTGCACTGCAGCTAAAACACGTCAATGTGGAACAAAAGGGGAGAACCAGACCTAAAATGTTTTCTTTGATGTCAGCCAAAAGTAATTACGATCAATTTATGAATACTGGACTTAAGGGCATTTTCACCATTCATACTTTTATTTTTCATCATAATTTCTGAATGAAAATATTCTTAGATTTTTTCTTTACCCTTTTGGGCCTCTTAATTTACGAATCTGATCAGCAAGATTATGGTATTGATTTGCAAGAAACAACGAGTGAACCAGATGCGGTTTTCCAATAGGAAGAAATTAGGTTCAAGTTCGGTAATCCTAAATTGAAAGGGAAGTTCAATGGTAAACTTAAGATATAGGAAATCAAATAGACAGTCAGTGAAGCAGCGCGGTGAATATATCCTAGATTTTGGTCGTATCAAGTCAAAGTGGAAAGATTAACAGAAGGCACATCTTATAAAATACCAATAATCATAGGATTTGTGGCAGCCCGGTAAGGTCAAATCACGTCATTTGCATTGTCGTAAAAATTTCATGATATCACTTATAAATTAGCCAGTAGACTGGCGGTTGGTACTTGCTGTAGATAGTGATCTCATGGCTGGGGACGCTTCACTCTGCAGAGCTGGCATAAGGTAAAATATGACACGACATGTTTCATATGCTAAGGCAAAATTTCCAATGAAATTGAATAATAAATGAATAAGACAAAATAACGTCAACTGTTAGATTATTTTAACTGAGTGATTTGACTGCGCATAGAAATCAAAGTTAATCTGACCTTGGGTCGTTATACATGAGCCAAAGGTCTCACCACTCCTTGAAAATCGAGCTGACGATCGCACCATTGACGCAGAAGGAGACAGTGCTATATTCTGTTGTCAATGAAAGCTATTCAGCGTATGTTCAAGTTCGAATCAAATAAAAACTAGTAGTAGAAGGGGATAGCTGATATTTTGACACAAACGACAGTGCATTGTTGCATTTACTGTTGTCTTTTCTATAGTCAGGATTTAATCCTTTTTCTTTAAAATAGGGAGATAGCGTGGTAACCGGGGCATCAGAAGCTCATTTGATAGTCACAGAGACCAGATTCTCGTATATCCAGTCTCTGTGATGACAAATGGTGTTCCGTGTTCCACTTGTCAGTTCGCACATTACTGACAACTAGAGGCTGGTTGTCACAAACTTCTCTCGCTGTAATATTACCTCTAACATCCACACGGGGCACGACTTATTAATTGCTCGCTTCAGAAACGCAGGTGGGCCCAGTATATCACAAGCTTTTAGGTGACTAAATGATTTCCACAGAACTGCCGGAATTAACAATGACCAGGTCTCTGGACACCAGTGGACTGGCGGTGACTCTTTTTGCATGTCATAGTATTCGAATGGCGTCAACATCAGCCTTCTAACATTCAAGTTGACAGCAAGCGTATGTATGCAGATAAGTACGAATCGCCGTCAGTTCTCTGGCACTCGGCGTGTCGGTAAGTGTACGGTGAAATAGAGAGGAATCTATGAAGACCTATGTCTTTCAAGGAGAAACCTATGTTCTAGGGTAGAGGGAAATATAAAGAGCACGATGCATCACATGTAGCGAACAATTTACGAAATACCATCAATGTGATGATTCTTTCTTGGAAAGAACAAGGCAGTACAGTGCATTTCAGGTAGACTTACATACAACAGTATTTACACTAAAAAATTAAAAAAAAAAAAACGCATCGAGCATAATGCAGTATGTCCTTTTTTCACCTTATAGTGATAGAGGTATGACAGTAATTGAAAAATGGATGAGGTGTTTGTAATGCGTTCTGCTTGTTTCCCGTTGTTGAAGCTAGATACCTGTATCCACCGACAAATGGTTAGATAGGTTTCATTTGATAAATGAAAATCATGGCATTCACAGATAAATGAATATCATTGTATTCACAGACAAATGAATATCAGCCTATTCACAGTTGTGCGAGAATAAAAATGTATTTGTGTGTGTTTGTGTGTTTTGAGCCAGCGGTATGGGTAACATTATCCATACAAAGAGCACCTTATAGGTAATGGCATTCAGAATGGAACTTCAGAAAATTGGTTCAAGCGTTCCTAAGAAGTTATCTTGCGAGCCGACCATATCTGGGCCAATTTGGAAAATCAAAGTCAACATTTTAAGATTCCTAGGATGATGCTAGGTATTTTCTCTGACAGCAAAGTACATTTGATAATATTTTGCTTCTTTCTTTCCATTCCTCCATGGAATGCAGACGATCATTTAATGAAATATTGTGGTAATGCTTACCTTCACCGCGCTCATTAGGATGCTCTCTGACGGGAAGATTTAGGAGCTTGAATCATTCGTTTTAATCAATTTCATGATAATGGGGAAGTCATTAACACCTATTGATTTTGATAAAACTTTTGTATCAGTTCCCTCTTCCATTTTAGGAATGTGAAGTGAGCAGCGCTGCAGACGGTATGTCTGTCAGGCTGCCGGGCTGAAATGCACCGTAGCCATGCTGCAAAATCCGTAAGCCATATCCGTCGCCAGGTGGAACAGGTGATTCTATGTTTAGAAAACACTGTAGCTGAACTGAGGTTTCTCTCCCAAGACATCAAAATATTAGGAAAACAAATCGATGTGGTTACAGATCGACTGCTGGAGGACTGCCCGTTGAATTCGTTAAATGTAACAACTACTTCATTTAGAGACGCTACCATGATTACACTGCAGGACAGCAAAACACCACACAGACTGCCAACACAACCGCTAGGTCATCGAAATAACTCTCGCGTTGTTCTCTCTAAAGAACAAATGTACCCAAACTCTGCGAACTTTATGAGAAAAGAAAATACATATGAGGATACCAGAAGCGTTGGGTCAGATAAGGAGAACGTATTCAGTAGTACACCAGTCAAATCAGTCGCCTCTGCTGATCTATCTCTACAATCCTCAATAGAAGATACTTACGCCACGGAAACCTCCGGGAGAACTGTAATTGCGACTTTGCACCAGAACCCTAATCAGGTCTCAATGTCATCATTTATCAGCGATAACGAATGTCACTTTTCTAGAGCCTTCTCTTCAGACACAATCCCTAATGGTGAGTCGTCGCCAAACAATAACTCAAACGCTTGGGAGTTTTTACACAACGAAAAACTGAACAAGGATCAACCAGCAGAAACGAAACCAAGTGTCATGTATCCAGTGTCTCCAAATAATAATTCAACCGGATTTTCATTTGTCTCGGAGATTGATGAAAAGACGGGCTTTTTAGTAGGAAATGAGATATACAATGAAAATCTCAAGGCTCACAATGGCAAGTATCTTTCATGCGACACATGCATGTTGCATCACGGGGTGTTACGACAAGATCGAATAGATCTTCTGTTTAAGAAGATGGAGATTGAAAAAGCATTTGATAAAGTGGGTCTAGAAGATAAAAAACTACAAGATTCGGTCAATTTTAGTGGCGGTTTTCTCAAACAGCTTCATGAAAAATGTAACCAATATGACCAAAACTGTCTTTCTGGGTCGCCTTCATTGAAAAAGAAGGCGTTAATAGGGAAAGACATTCCAAATACTAAATCACAAGATTCCAATAATTCAAGCGCAAATGTTTTGCTAACGGCTGGCGACGAAAGTGCATCTGGGCGAGAATTTAACTTTTGCGTCTTGCCAAAGGAAGTAGAGTATAGTGGATTATATGAGTACGTGCTCGATATGACATTGGAAACCATGTCTGATGACGGTCATGACAGTAACTTTGACGAATGGAGCGAGGACGAAGGGTCGATTTCATTGGACTTGGAATATTCAGCGAGTTACAACCGAGATATGAACACATGGACGTCGTTCGCACTCGTTCATGTTGACAGCGTCTATGAGGATGATTTTGAATACGAAAATCTTGGTGCTTGTTGTGGTGAGACCTCGGGCTTGGACAACATATCACCCACTACTTCCCGCAAGACCTACCCTGGTAATTGGGAAAATGATTTGGAAGAGCTGGCTCTGACGTATTGCTCTCCGCGGAGTAAACGGAAGCATTACTTATGATCATATTAAACGCAAGCTGTTTACAGTAAAGAAATCGTTAAATATTGGTATTTGAAAACAAAATTTTATATGCTGTCCTTTAAGGCAGAACTAGATAAATCGTCAGTAAATTAAATGTAGATGCAGTTTATATATATATATATATTCCAGCTGTCTCTTTCATGTAGTTATGCCGTCATGCAATCCCTATTTCTGGTAAAGACAACAGCCTAATCATAAGTCATCAGGCAACATATCACGTTTGATCAATTTTACCTTGCTTTGGCTTTTTTTTAATGTTTCGTCACGGAGTTGGACTCATTTCACTTACAAAGTTCTCTACTTCTATGGTCTATCAAAGGAACAGGCCAAAACAAGTACGAGAAGTCCTGTGCAGCCACGACTGAGTGTTTCTGTGATTAGACAAACATTTTCCTACAGCAGACTGTTCCACGTCGCGTGTTGTAAATAACAAAAATGTTTTAAAAGCGGTGTCTGTCTCTGTGTCTTAGTCTGTCGCAGTCATAGCGTATTCTATCATGTGTATGCTTACAAAGTACAAATGGCCATAAAGATAAAAGCGTTATTTTATTTCCCAAGTCGCATTTCTAAATCTGTGCAGGGAATACTAGTTATAATTGCAAAATTCTGTAATATATGGCGGGATAATGGTAATGGTCTTGTCAAGAGCGCACATCGTGAAATTTATCTTTTATATTCCGTTCCTAAAATAATGTCGTCTTAATTTTAAAATTACTGAAAATATATTAAAAAAGTGATTGATTGCTTGGCTTGGCAGTGTTTACATAATGTGTATTTAGGTGTGCTAAAATAAGAATCAAGAAACACGCCTAGTCAAAATAACTTCAGGGCAGTGAAATAAAATCCATTGTTATGAAACATAATAATAATATTGCAACCTTTTTTAGAAGTAAAAAAGCGACTTTGTAAAGGTTGCGATAACAATCTACTAATAGTCATTCTCGATGTTATATCTTTGCGTGATTCGAAATTTTGCTCTTTAAAAACCATCCTCCTTTGCATCGATTTTATCTAGAAAATGTTATCACCCCTAAATATGACCTAAAAACGACATCAATTATCGTTTTGAAGCACTCATGGCTGTCGTATTACGTCGCCCAGTCTCACATCCGTCAAGTTTCAATACAGCCAGTAATTATACACTCCGTGCCGATATTATCAGCTATGCTCGTCAACCATATCCATAACTGAAAAGCAATAGTGCGTTAACACAGAGAACGTCTTCATTGCAATTGACAGCTTGTCGGGAATTTATAGTTTAATCTTACATGTTGGTATAATATTCCTTTGCAGTTTTTGTCCTTTTTTATAAATGAAGTCCGTTGTTCCTGGAGATCCATTTCACGACCAGCAGTTTAAAGGGCACAAACACGATAGATGGGCATCTTGCGTTGTAGTTAGATGTATGCATGTGTTTTGGCACGCAAGTGCATGCATCGTTGTGTTTGTGCTGACTTGTTCGCATGGGTGCACGTTTAATATTCAGGGGTAGAGATGGCGAGAAGTGTCTATTGGTAGGTCCCTTTTTCATTCCACACACACACGCACACATATCTGTCTTAACGTGGTGGTTTAAGACTGCATTCCCACGGATTTTAGATCGATCTATCCCCGTGGGGAGTCTCACTAGATTACTGTCAGCTTAGCCGGCTTAAATGTCTGCCCCGCCTACTAAAAGCTGTAAGAGGGTAATTACAAATAGGCCTAACTTCCGTGCGCGCTCGGCTGACAGCAATTTACCATGATCCCCCAGGGAGTTAGGTCGATCCAGATGGATCGATCTAAATCTGTGGGAATGCAATCTATGACTGGGTTCCCATACCTAGATCGATCTAACAGGGTCCATCCTTCTCCAAGGGATTTCTCGCTAAATTGTTATCGGCTCAGATGCCTGGCACTCATGCTGAAGGTGATAAACGATAATTAATTGCCCCTAGAAACTTTAGTGACAGACATCTAAGCCACTTAATTTGATTGCAATTTAGCGAGAATCCCCATGGAGATAGATCGATCCACAGTTAGTACGATAGGGACTGGGACCCCATTTCCAGAGATTAGATCGATCTACTTTAGATCGCCCTAACTCCCTGGGGGTTCACGCTAAATAGCTGTCAGCCGAGCGAACACGAAAGTTAATTACCCCCTTACAGCTTGTAGTAGGCGGGACGGACATTTAAGCCGGATTATCTGACAGTAATCTAGTGAGACTCCCCGCAGGGATAGATCGATCTAAAAGCTCTGGGAATACAGCCTGGGAATGGTCCCTCAGACTGGGTTCACACAGATTTAGATAGATCCATCTGGATCGACCTCACTCCCTATGGGTTCACGCCAAATTGCTGTCAGCCGAGCGCGCACGAAAGTTAATTACCCCCTTACTGCTTTTAGGAAGCGGGACAGACATTTAAGCCGGTTAAGCTGACAGCAATCTAGTGAGACTCCCCAGGGGGATAGATCGATCTAAATATCTGTGGGAATGGTCTCTAAAATACGTATAATAAAAAGTAAGTTCAGTATGTCTGACTTTACTCTTTTATTGACATATATATGCAGTAAATGCAAAGATGACCGGATATCTAGGCGAGGCTTTATTGCATTTTAGTAAGTTGCAGTAACTGCTGTACTTATCATTGGGTCGCTATCATCAATCGTGAGGATGATTTCTGGTTAACTATACACTTAAGTTAAAAAATACCCACGGTAAATGAGAAGTATTTTACGACGCAGGTGCTGCAAGAGGTATTGCTTATGTATCCGATTGCAGCTACCTGGGGCGCTTGGAACCCTGGTTTAGAGGAGACCGTGAACAAGTTCTTTTATATTCAGGCTCATTGGCAACCCTCGTTTGTCAGATGACGAAAAGGACATGACAGCGTCAAAAATGCGAAAGTTTGACCTGAACACCTGTGGGTGTTCCGCTTCGAGAAGTGGATTAGTTAAAATTAAATTCAACAGACAGAAGCAGTGAAGTGGAATACAGAATGAATTGTTATTTACAGTCTTCAGATCTGTGTGAATGCTCAAATAAGTTGTGTGGCTATTGTACCGCAACGAAAGAACTATTTACAAACAGCATTACATAAGTTTGCAGANAAAAAAAAAAAAAAAAAAAAAATGGATGTTTTTAAATCGACATCTCACTACAACACAGACATCTCACTACAACACTAATATAATATTCGCTTCTTTTTGTGGCTTTCAAGTATTCGAGATGTTATGCAGCTTCAGTAACCATGTCCCCGCGACGTATAAAAAAGGGGTTGGAAATAGCTGCCTAGCCGCAAACCACGAATCACGCTTCAATAAACACAGGGGCGGATTTAGGCCGTCTTCTGGGTCTTCTGGAAGACGGTCAGATTTTCAAGTTTACATTGTTAGCCATCTAATGTTTTCTGTCGGAAGACGGTCAAAATTGGAACATGGATCAACAAAGATAATTTGGAGGACTGTCAGAAAATATCTCTGGATCCGCCCCTGAAACAGTTATATAAACCGCGGTTAAAATAGTACTAAATGGCGTTTTTGCATCGCGATATTAAAACTTCTATGGAAAAGGTGTATGGTTAAAGAACATTTCTTCTAGCAATCCAGCACTACCAGTCTACCACCCCAAGTACCGTAATAGAGTGATGGCTGAGGTATCACATGCCCAGTAGTATAAAAATAGCCCAAAAGGCATTTCTAGTGTCAAGGGGATGCGTTGCTCTCGGTTGAAAAGTTATTCAGAACAATTGAAAATCATAAGTGATAAATTAGTGCAGTGATGTCGTTTATGATAACCCTTGGTCATGTGAGGTACAAATATTAGTCATAAATTGGAAGACATTTGGTACAAGAAGACGGTTTTATTTCAACTCCAGGGCGGTGTCTTGTACCTATAATGGCGGTATTGGGAGGTAATAGCAACATGCACACGATAGCAGACTGTTATCATTTGCAGTGCCCGGGAAAACTTTGAACAAAGGGAAGAGAATATGGAAATTTTACATCCTGCCAGAAGTAACGTCGTTTTTTTTTTTTTTTTTTTTTTTTTTTTTTGTAACAAAAGAGGTTCTGACAACAGATGTAAAATTGACATTTTGATACTTAACGTTAATATTTCTCCATAGATATGAACTAATAAAAAGTATGCCTATTTCCTTTGTGTTCAGTCTTTATTTGCTTTGGCAAGACTAAATGTGTGGGGTTCTGGGTTATCATTTCTTGAATCGGATTTAAGTTATACTGGCTGAAACCCAGTACTTGTCTGACGTCACATAACCAGGCAAAAGACAAATGTATAAACGTGCTCATCTTCTCTCAGTTTTAGAAACAGTCACACTCTAAATAAGGGTGAACCAATACTCTATGAACCTGCATGTATTCAAGTGGTTATAATGCCGAAACCCCTTGCATCTTTTAATTACCACATTTATGAGGAAATATGCGAAATTGCACGAGCCCAGCACCTCTAGATAAGTGCACAAACGAAAAAAATCTTACAGCGCTGATTGCAGCATAAAATTGCCATATAAGCTAGGTGTCGCAGTTTATCTATCAGTAAGTCCCAGTAAAATGTACAGTTAAAAAGTTTTTCATCTCATTTTTATTTTCGACAATACGCAGGTATGCGAGTTGGGCAGGACTGGGACCCGCAGATTGAGAGTAGGCCCAAGCCTGGATACCGCAAGTTGTTTTTTGTTTTTTGTGCCGTATTGTGTTGAGCATCGCCTACTAATTATGCAAGATTTTTAAAAGACACTAACATTAATTTACTTCAGTTAAACAAAAACGTTGAATTTCGAACCAATCCTCAAGCTTTTCCTATAGGGGCTTCAGTCATTAATGAGAAAAGAACTAATTTGAGAATAAGATGCATAATGTTGGACCCTGGCCGTTACATATTAATATTCCATATTAGCACACATGGATGGTGAAACCTGCCTACAAATGCCCGGATATATAATTTTTTTATATTTTATTATTATTTTACAAAAATATCTTGCAGATATGAAACATTTGCGGGGTCTAGAAATCCAAATGTCGTCCAAGGGCCACCGTTAAGAAGTGAATGTTTAACAATGCAGCAGTACACATTTGAACGCGTGAGCTTTACAGATATGCGGCTCTACACCCTCTTTATTAATCTCAAATGTCTTCCCGCAATAAATTTCTTAACCTAGGCTTTTGCCAAGAAGCCCTAGTTAGGCATCTGAACGAGACAAGCTACTTCATATCTAAACACATATGGAGGTTAGAAAACGGAGAAGCTGGCAGGCATCGGAATCAAGGCTCGTGGTACCCAATAGATCTTTTAAAATAAATGCAATACTGTTATCAAAATACTATTATATTTTCGTTGTTACAGGATTCGCCGTGTTGGTTATAAAGGTAACCATCCAATACCAACTTTTTGTATTATATCAACAAAAAGAATATTCATATTAACAAACACAACTCTGTTATATATAGGAAAATTGTTAGGTACAGACTAAATTGTTCCCTAAAAATACTTGACTTTCCTGAATACCTACCAAATATAACTGATTTACATTTAATTTTCATTTTAAGTAGTTAGGAGAAAATAAATTACCTCTTTGTGGCTAATGCAGTAATAACTCAAAACAGAATCAACATCTAAAACATTCCTGTTTATAATGTCAATGTCCAGTGGTAACAAAAATACAGAAAATCCCATAATTCATTAAAGCTCTAAATGAGTTAACAGTGCAGTTAAGAGAAAATTAAAACTGTAACAATTTGCATAGAAATATACACATCTTTAAAAAATATGTACCATAATTTCATTAAGTTGAGACAACTTCAAATATAATTTAGATAGAATAGTCTTTGGCAAAATAATACTCATTCCAACTTTCCATAAACGAAAAAGCAAACAAACATAATGAATTCTTATATTCTTGCCAATTAACAATATCCCATCTAATGATTAGAAAAAGCATCCATGCACTGAAATAATGTAAACTACTGTACATCTGTAGACATAACTGTAGACAAACAAATAACAAACACATAAAACTAAAGCAAACTCTAGTAAGCAGTCCAGAAAAAGTAGTAGAGTAGCAACCTTTTTCTCTTGTCCACATTTGCAAGTTTATCCTCCAAGGACAAAGTTAAAAATTTCATAAAGTACTCCATTCATTTAATTAGGCATTCATGATGTCTCTGATAACTTTCTTCAACTGTTGATATTTCTTCTGAAACAGGATGGGAATGTATCGTGTCTTTGTGGTACTGAGGGGTAGAAATCAAAGTTCTGACTTGCCCAGTGTGGCATGAACGGCTACCTTGGTCAGCTGTGACTGGAATTTGCCATCTACATGTTTCACTGAAAGTAAAATATGTACTTTAGAAAATAACTAAAAATAATAAAAAATAAAACAACAACAAATAAAATCAAGTTCTGTACCAAAATAAGAAAAATCACTTTGGTTAAAAAAATAACTACTGCTCATACATTTTTGGTGGCACAATTAACACTTGTGGGACAGAGTCCAGGTCCTAAATAAATAACAGACTCATAATTAGGAACTTGCTAGTGTAGATTTTCCATTTTTTCAAAGAAAATAAGGGTCTTATTTGCCTTATCTATGACCGCCCTGGAAACAGGGTCTTGGTTAAGTAAAAAGGAAAAATCTTGGCTTCATCGCAGGGCAAATTGCCAATGTTTTCTCCTGGTTTATCCTACTTCAGATGAAATCTCTCCATTGAATTCCCGCATTTTTCTGCTTTATTATGCATAATTTTCCACTCTATTACTTGTAGTGGAAAGCATGCTAAAAAACTTCTTCAGACACAAAGGCTTGGTCCTTGATTAACAAAATCAATGGATAAGGCTGAGTGAAAATTGCCTGAGATACAAAGTGATGTTTTGCAATACACATCCCCTTTACATTGACTGATATGCACAAATTAAAAACGCCTTCAGGCTTCTACATTTGATTGCAGTGTCTCTTAGCATACACAATACTATCAACATAAACTACTGCAACAGTGGAATAACTCACATGTTATATCATACATATTTGTTTGACCATATCAGTACAGATAACTTAAAAAATAATTTTCATGGGACACTAATGTTAATATTAGACACATTTCAACAAGATCACTTTAAACTTTTATAGTCTTTACTTCTGCTAGATGAAAAATCTAATACTACTCAAACATTCCTCTATTAAGCCTTTACTTATTTGCAAAATGAGTGGACAACTTTTTTTCTCAACCTTATTTCCTACACATTTAGTTCTCCACCCATGTCAAGTGCATCCCTACAAAGATAACTGATTAAAAGCCAATTAAACCAGACAGTAATTGATTAAGTTATTCTGTTTTATAAAATTGTTGTTGGCAGCCAATCTTGTTACCTCTTCCTGGGGTAAAGACATCAGTTCTACTCTCTCTGACATATTTACCTGGCAAAAATTTAGTTGGACCTCATCTTAGAAAATATAGTGAAGGTTAAATACAAAGTCAAAAATATTACTATGTAGATAATTGTAGTGACAGCAAATTCCATCAGATTTAAACTTCCACATGCCTACACATACTTATATGGGGGCAAAGTTAACATATTTTACATGGCATTACACAGTCCATGATGAATGATAATGACAAAGCATTGGGACAGTTGAAATCATGAAGTAATAGAGGTCAATTACATTACATTTACACCTGCAATGAAAAAGTTAACCTTTACGGGTCACTTTTTTCAACTTAATCATTCAAATTCTTAAACATGTTATATTGAACCAAGTTTAAGTATCAATCTAATTGCATAAAACATATTATACTACATGAACCAAATATCTCCTAGAATCAAAAATGGAATTTATGTAAGTTTTTATTTACAGAAATTACTATTATATGGTCTGATAAAATGGTCCGATTACATGGTCATATCTAACCAAGCAGCAATGTGCATGCATGTATATAGTTTCATATACTTTCATGTAGCACCCTTCCTGACCTCCCTCACAAAACAACAAAGTCTTATTTTCTGGAAAAATTAAGCACTGGTTAACTTCCAGTACAATAGCAAACATTCATTTCCCACCTGCTGTCAGGTTCTCACAATCGATGAATAATTTAATAAAAAGTCTGACTGAGTAATGGTTGAAATGTTTCCAGGAAATCTTTATGTCAAATTTAAATACCCTGACGAATACATTCAGTATGTATACATTGTAGAATAGAAGGAACAATTATTCCCTTGTCCATGGTACAGTCACATTTGACTTTATCCAAAGAACACTGCATCTTTCTTCCATATAACTGGTAAATATGTAAAAATACAGATCATACAGCATTAATAAAAAATAATCTAGACATACTAAAAATTTATGAAATTAACACCTATATGTTTCAAACCTTCTCAATGGATGTATTATGGTTTTAAATAAATCAGAAAAAAAGCCATGTCATCTCCATCACCTTGGTCCAAAACATTGTGTCAGGAAAACCACAAAAGAAAGCCAATGCCAAATCCCAGTATTAAGTTTGAAAACAGGACACATCAGCCTGTCTGAGAGCTAAATTGATGCTACCAATAAATAACTTTATTTACTGACAGAAACACTCTTCAATTACAGCATTAGGCAAATAACAGAAATAATTACCACAGAAAGAAGACATCAGTCTTACCCAAGATGAAATTAAGAACACTCAAACTATCACTGGATCAAGGAATCCATGTCATCCATTAACCATTTCAAATAAAGGATCCTTGGTCAAATATGATTTCTTATACAATCATTAAATCGTCACATAGAACTGTCATAACTGTTTAACACTTCATTGGAAAGGAAGAGGACTCTAGTCTACACCAACAAATCTCAAAATTTATATTCAAAACTTACTAATACCAAAAGTGAATACACTGCCTGGAAAATAAAAACACATGAACCACCATTTTTTTTTAGTTTTCATCACTTGAATGGGAGAAATAGTCTTTTTCTTTACTTGTTAATTAAGCAGAATTTATAAGTTAGCACCTGAGTTGTATAGTTATGAACAGTTTTCATCTTGTCTTTTTTTCTTTCTTTTACTGATTCAGAAGACATTGGAAAAACATCCTAATACCTATATAAACCTGAGACCTACAATTAGGTAACAGAGGGTGCAGGATAAGGTTAAAAGACAGGCTTATACGTACTGATGGACTAAGTGCTGTTTTAACATCTGTTATCTTTATTTTCCTAATGGGGTTGAATAACATAACACACAGAGATGATGCACAGACATGTTGGAAAAATTTAAATCCATACTCTACTTCCATTAATGATTACTTCATTTCAACTTTACTTAAATCTGAGGCTGCACCAGTCTGTTTGTGTGGTCTTCACTACCACAGCAGACTAACATTTACTAAAATTTTATAACACAGCTAACCTCAGATAAACATAAAGCAGAATCAGTCATTTAGCAAAATCTACTTTAAATTGTGTAGTAAAATACATCCCATCTGCAGAAGACATAATAACGTAAGTTAGGTTGTCCAATTTGTGCTTCCATCGATTGGGAGATTTAAGTTGGATTACATTAACTACAGTTTTGCTTTGGTTCATCAAAAATATCATAAATGCAATAAGAAAGAATAATGAGAAAGGGATTTCAATATTTATTTAAAATGAAAACATTTTTTTCTGTGAAAAATGAATTTTTTGTTTACTTGTGAAAATTCTGCAAATTACATTTTACTGAAGCTTTGTGCGTTGTTTTTAACAAGAGTTGTATTTATACAATGCAATGGCATTCTAAACCCTTATCAATGTTTCAAGTACTAAATCAAAGTTCAATTCACAAACATGAAAAATGAGAAATTACACATTTAACTACAGACTCATTTGGGGGTCCAAATAACACTTTAAAGCAAAAGGGTTACCTTCATTTTTTTGAGTGTTGACTTCCAACTCCCCTGGTCTCAGTGGCACTTTGCCATTACCCTGGAAACACAAAGAAATCAATAAGGAATAAAACAAAACAAAACCCAAATACAGCAAAATCATTTCTTCTCAATAATTTCACAAAATTGCAGTTACAATTTTTCATAGATTGAAAATGATTAACTTTGCACTGTGCAATTGCACTAGAAAATGAAAAACATGTTAATAAAGTTATTTCTTTCTTGCAGATTTGCTTAAGTGTGATTTGCTGAAGTAAACATACTTTAGTGGAAAGATACCTCAATTTCATTGAAAAAAAAACAAAAAAAAACAGTACACTAATATTTACATGTCAGATGTAGGCCTACAACATTTACCCTTTCCTCATATAATAATGAAATAATAATAGTAGTAGTACAACTTCTACTCCGTTTTAAATGCATATTTTATTAGAAAAAAAGCTTCTACTCACAAAAGCTTCTCCAGATGTAACTTTTCCTCCAGAGATATGCAAGTTGAATTTTTCAAAGAAAAGGTATGATGTTGCAGAGGGTCTTTCCACAGAACAGGAAAGGGAGGTTTTGTCAGAGGATTTCTCTAAAGTCATCACCCATGACTGGCAAAAAAAATAATATTTAAAACTAGTTTTGATTTATGAATTCATCCAAACAAACCTTTTCTTAAAACAGAAAGCCAAGTAAGTGCTACTTCTAAATTAAAAACATTATCTAAGAGAGTGCTTTTTTTGTTTTGGTTACAGTAGGTAATGAAACACTATTCTAATGCTAGTACTATGAATGTGTCAGTTGTGAGATTTACATTCTAACTTATTGGATAAACTGTTGCAAACTGGATGGATAAAATTCTGAATGTGACAGTTGTGACATAAAAGAGAACAGTTTTGACTGCACATACAAGTGTGATGCTTCATGGGATGGGTATGCCTTTTGCTGAAGAAAAAGGCTGATAAAAAAAAACAGAATTGCGAAATAAAAAATTACCTCTTTAGTGCCTCCTTGACAGGAATATGCAAAAGTACAAATAAATTCACCCTGAAATACAAATTAAAATCATTCTCCATCAAATCATACTGCCTTATTAATAACTGTCTAAAACAAGTAGTGGTTCTCATTGTTTATAAAAGGGTGACATTTAAAGGTATGCATGTTAGCTAATACATGTTATCAATGTAATTGCTTTGTACTGTATGAAATTGTATGTGTCTCAACATGCCAGCATATTTTTTCTGTATGGTATAAATGCAGAATAACATTGTTAGTCCAGGGCAATTGGTCAGATTTTACAGGCATTGCATATTGCAGACTAGTAAGAGTGGATACTGTTCATTTGACTTACAGCTTGGCAGAGCAATATATTGTGCTTAAATTGATAACTTCCTTCACCACTCTGATGTTAGCAGTATGTATGGGTATGTCCTGGGTTTAAAGAAGAGAAAGGGTGTGGGGAAAAACCCATGTGGTGGTGGTGCAGGGGTGGATTTAGGCCGTCTTCTGGGTCTTCCGGAAGATTTTCAAGTTTACATTGATGGGTATCTATTTTTTTCTGTCAGAAGACGGTCAAAAATGAAGAACGGATCAACAAAGATAATTTGGAAGACTGTCAAAAAATATATCTGAATCCGCTCCTGTGGTGGTGGTGGAGGAATCTCAGGGTACAGAGGAAGCAGAATGGGTCATGTGTGATACTACATGTATGTAGGGTGATTGGTGTGAAAAGAAAGGTGCTCTTGGACCTGATGGTAAGGTGAAAGGAGAAGGTGTTGGGGATGAGACTGAAGGAATTAAGGGCAAGACTGAAAATGATTCTGTTCTAGGGTTTAAGGATAGAGGAGAAAGGCAAACTGGGGAAGATGACATGCTCATAGCTGGTGGTGAAGCAGTTTGAGGGTGGGGATGTGGCGGAAAGAAATGTTGGAGAGGGGGTGAAATTAATTCATGATAGGAGTTTGGGAGAAGAGAAAGATGACCAGTGTCAGGGCAACTGCCAAAAATAATATTCACCTGGTACTGATAGTAAAAATATAGCAGTTATCAAAGCAATACACAAAGCAGCTTTTGTTGCTTGACAGGTAACTGCATGGCTCTAATCTGAGTTACATACATGTTGTTTGTTTCCTAATTTTTTATTCAGTTTCAATGGGAATTACCAGGAATAATCATAAACAATCTCATGCGACACAATTATACAATGGTCTAATTCACTATGCAATTAGGTTTAATTAGAACTGCTTTTTCTGAACTCTGTAGTACTTTCATACATCAAACCTAAGTTGGTATCTTAAATGTTGTGGACGACATATTTACAGGATATGCAAATGAAGGAGGCTCACACCAGGCAATTTAATCCATACTTGAGGTTTCTTTTTATTCCAATTGTTTTATTGAAAAAAAAAAATATGAAGTCCTGAGTGTAATGCTGGCACTTTTAAGTTAAAACTAAGACCTCACTCACCCAGCTTTCTTCAAATATTTGTGGCTTCCCGCCCGGTTTAACATCAAAATTTATCACTTTAGGCAGTTCTTCGTTTAGACCAACAGACCAGAAAGAGACGAAAAACGTCAAAGTGAACACAACATTTTCAGTCCACATGCTGCAGCTTCCGGAAGTGGCGTGGCTGAAAAGTAAACACCGATCATCCAATCAAATTGCATTTCAAATATAGGTCATCCTAAGTAGAACAATATCCACAAGCATGGCTGACGACAGCTTGAGGTTTGATGGCCGAGTGGTGCTTGTTACGGGTGCTGGCTCAGGTAATTTGACATTAATTTCTTTTTCTAGTGATGCGACTAGTTTCATGTGAAGATGTAGATGTGTAAGTAAAACGGAATATTATTTTTATTTTTGCTGAAAACATCAGATCTTATGTTGATTGTTCTTTGACAGGGAGGTCAAAGTGCAATACTAGCATAAGATAAATGTCTCTACATTTTGACTTCATTTTTCTACAATTTAACATTGGCGATTGCATATTGTAAATTTTTGTTAACGTTGAAAAACACAATTTTCTCTGGATAAAGAAAAGAAATACCATAAATACCTTCATAAAGTTGGACAAATTTAATTAAAAGGAAAATGTAGATTTTAATAGGGTAATCAGCCTCCAGCAGTCCTGTTTATGTTATGGATAGAGTTTGAATGTTATGGCAGATTTACATGATATCATCTTCAACTTCCACTTACATTGGGTCATCTTTGCTACAGTTTTTGACCTAAGATGCTACATAGTATATGCACCTGTAGGTATTTATACTGTACTAGCTACCGGGGTAGTACTTGGCATGTACACCATGTAATACATGTAGTACGAAAGGTCAAAAACGGATGCAAGGATCACCTTTTCCCTTACTGCATTACTATTTCCTCCTCTGTTAATTANCAGAATGGGTCATGTGTGATACTATGTAGGGTGATTGGTGTGAAAAGAAAGGTGCCCTTGGACCTGATGGTAAGGTGAAAGGAGTAGGTGTTGGGGATGAGACTGAAGGAATTAAGGGCAAGACTGAAAATGATTCTGTTCTAGGGTTTAAGGATAGAGGAGAAAGGCAAACTGGGGAAGATGACATGCTCATAGATGGTGGTGAAGCAGTTTGAGGGTGGGGATGTGGCTGAAAAAAATGTTGGAGAGGGGGTGAAATTAATTCATGATAGGAGTTTGGGAGAAGAGAAAGATGACCAGTGTCAGGGCAGGGGCATCTCGATAGTCCGAAGGTTCATTGGTCCGAAGGTTCATTGGTCCGAAAAGTGGTAACATTTTCATCGATTTTTTAATCAAGGGTTCATTGGTCCGAAGGTTCTATAGTGAACATTCGGACCAATGAACCTTCGGACTATTGAACCTTCGGACTATCGCTACGGCCCCGTCAGGGCAACTGCCAAAAATAATATTCACCTGGTACTGATAGTAAAAATATAGCAGTTATCAAAGCAATACACAAAGCAGCTTTTGTTGCTTGACAGGTAACTGCATGGCTCTAATCTGAGTTACATGCATGTTGTTTGTTTCCTAACTTTTTATTCAGTTTCAATGGGAATTACCAGGAATAATCATAAACAATCTCATGCGACACAATTATGATTACCATTTTGCTTTAATCCTTTACATTGTCAATGGTCTAATTCACTATGCAATTAGGTTTAATTAGAACTGCTTTTTCTGAACTCTGTAGTACTTTCATACATCAAACCTAAGTTGGTATCTTAAATGTTGTGGACGACATATTTACAGGATATGTAAATGAAGGAGGCTCACACCAGGCAATTTAATCCATACTTGAGGTTTCTTTTTATTCCAATTGTTTTATTGAAAAAAAAAAAGCCACATTGAAATATGAAGTCCTGAGTGTAATGCTGGCACTTTTAAGTTAAAACTAAGACCTCACTCACCCAGCTCTCTTCAAATATTTGTGGCTTCCCGCCCGGTTTAACATCAAAATTTATCACTTTAGGCAGTTCTTCGTTTAGACCAACAGACCAGAAAGAGACGAAAAACGTCAAAGTCAACACAACATTTTCAGTCCACATGCTGCAGCTTCCGGAAGTGGCGTGGCTGAAAAGTAAACACCGATCATCCAATCAAATTGCATTTCAAATATAGGTCATCCTAAGTAGAACAAGCATGGCTGACGACAGTTTGAGGTTTGATGGCCGAGTGGTGCTTGTGACGGGTGCTGGCTCAGGTAATTTGACATTAATTTCTTTTTCTAGTGATGCGACTAGTTTCATGTGAAGATGTAGATGTGTAAGTAAAACGGAATATTATTTTTATTTTTGCTGAAAACATCAGATCTTATATTGATTGTTCTTTGACAGGGAGGGCAAAGTGCAATACTAGCATAAGATAAATGTCTCTACATTTTGACTTCATTTTTCTACAATTTAACATTGGCGATTGCATATTGTAAATTTTTGTTAACGTTGAAAAACACAATTCTCTCTGGATAAAGAAAAGAAATACCATAAATACCTTCATAAAGTTGGACAAATTTAATTAAAAGGAAAATGTAGATTTTAATAGGGTAATCAGCCTCCAGCAGTCCTGTTTATGTTATGGATAGAGTTTGAATGTACAGTTATGGCAGATTTACATGATATCATCTTCAACTTCCACTTACATTGGGTCATCTTTGCTACAGTTTTTGACCTAAGATGCTACATAGTATATGCACCTGTAGGTATTTATACTGTACTAGCTAGTACTTGGCATGTACACCATGTACACTGTATACAGTGTACATGTAGTACGAAAGGTCACCCTAACGAAAAAGTCCTATAGGATCCTATAAGATCCTATAGGATCCTATAGGAAATTGGCCCAAATAGAATAATTGCTATTAGGTGGGAGTGCTGGAGAGAAAAGAAATCAGAACAGAAATGTATTTGTGTTTAATTGTGTGCATGCATGAGTCTGCACATGTCAGTATAAGCCATTGTACATGGGTGCATATATACCTGTATGTAATGTAGGATTTTTTTTAATGATTTACTTACATTATGAAACCAGGGGCGGATTTAGGCCGTCTTCTGGGTCTTCCAGAAGACGGTCAGATTTTCAAGTTTACATTGACGGGTATCCAATTTTTAATGTTGGAAGACGGTCAAAATTGGAGGATGAATCAACAAAGATAATTTGGAAGACTGTCAGTATATAGCTCTGGATCCGCCCCTGGAAACTGTTATTGTTTTAAAGAAAAATATTGGTATTCAGGTTCTTTTAGCTTTATCTTATGCATATCCACAGCAATTTAATTAATTATGTAATATACCACTTGATGAATATTTGAGTATCAAGTATGTATGTTCTTATCTTTACAAAGGTCTTGGAAGGGAGTATGCCTTGGAATTTGGAAAGAGAGGAGCTTCAGTTGTTGGTGAGTCTGTATGCAGACATGTATTACTGTTCTTAACACCTACTGAGCTTTAAAAATTTTGTTTGGTCCTCACCCCAGGAGCAGTATATGCACGTTATGCCAGTGTGATCTGTTTTACAGGTTTCTGAAATAGGACACTCGTAATTAAATAGGTGAAAACAGGAAATTGTAATTCTGATTTAATCATTAAAAATTATGTGAAGCAAGTTGACAGTGAAACACATATTGATATTTTTTATATTATAACCTATTAAGATATACTTCAATCACTGTTATGTATATACTGGTTTCCTTACAGTCAATGACCTGGGAGGTGACATGAAAGGTGGTGGTAAGGGCTCTGCTGCAGCTGACAAAGTTGTTGAAGAAATTAAAGCCATGGGAGGAAAAGCAGTTGCTAATTATGGTATGGACAAATTTCACCGTTTAACCATACAGTTGTTTTTTTTATTAAACTTTATGTTTGGACAAAACATTTCTTTATTATGTGAAAACACATTTATATTGAAGGATTTATTTTGTTTTAAACAGATTCAGTGGAAAATGGTGAAAGTGTTGTGAAGACTGCCTTGGATGCTTATGGTAGAATAGGTAGGGATTAAACTTGTGTGTAACTTATGCTATTGTGCCATAGTGGGGCTAAGTTCATTGAAGTTTATGTAATAAGTGATTATAGATATACATGTGGTGGGAAACGCTATGCACTTTGTCCTTGATACACTATTGTAACACTATATGGTGACTTATTGATATCAGGAAATGACAAGGTAATGATATCAGGTCAAATGTATTTATTGCTTTACTTATGTTTTTATTTAAATAGATGTTTCTTGATTTGTTTTTCAGATGTAGTCATCAATAATGCAGGCATTTTGAGAGACCGTTCCTTCCCCAGGATAAGTGATGATGATTGGGGTAATTAAGTCATGCTCTAGGGTATGGGATTTAATATCAAAGAGAGGAAAGAGGACAAGGGATGCTGCAATTAAAAAAACATTCTACATTTATTAAATATTTAAAGAGCTTGTAGTTTGTATTTTCTACAGACTGCTATCAAGATGACAATATAATATTAAAGCTTTAAAATAAAAAGAACTGCTATGACTTAACCACTCCAAAAATTTGTGGATAAAACAAACTGATCATGAGGGTCTGGATCAGACATGAACTTTTTCCACGGAAAAGTGGAATTCCCCATTTTTTATTCAATTCTGATGGTTTCTGAGATTCAAGGTTAGGTGTTGAGTCCCATAATAAATGTTCAAAGGTTTTTTTTTTGAAACCTAGGCTCATGTCTGTGTATTTGTTAAACTATGTAAAAGTCTTTCAGTTACCAGTTATCATACTTTTACTTGAATTTGTTGAGTTGTTTTTCATTCACCAGATATGGCATATTGAAATCATATTCTCTTAAGTTAAAAAATTTTATAACCAGATATCATCCAGAGAGTTCATCTACGGGGTTCATTCTCCGTCTCCAGGGCAGCATGGCCACACATGAAAAAGAACAATTATGGCAGGTAGGGATCCACTGTCATTGCACCAGTATATACATTGAGTAATGCCTTTTAGAAAGCCTTGTGTTAAAACATGATTCTTGAGTGTAGTTTACAAATGCATGGTGATCATCTATCATGCTATGCATTATGCATAGTAAGATGAACTCTCACATAACTTGAAGTATGCCATATTCAAAATGCTTGTATACAATTATGTATATGATGCATATATGTTATTTTAATATACAGATACATAAAGGTATAGTTATTCCTCAATCAAGGAAAGCACATTTTTGGTGATGTACTAGTAACTATTGCTGACAATATTTCAGGTTTATTTTGACAACATCATCTTCAGGATTGTATGGAAATTTTGGACAGGCCAATTATTCAGCAGGTATACATCAGCACAAGATTTTTTAGTACTATTTACAACATTACTCATCAACTGTATGTGATATTAAGGCTCAGCCTTGATATAATTTGCTCTTGTATGGGGCATACAGTGGAAGGCAAGTAGTTGTAACTTATATGCTAAGTGTTTGAAGTGCCAGCCGAGGTATAATGTTAATTAATACAGATCTTTTGGGAGTATTCTAAAATGTATCTTTTAAAATATTATTGAAAGTCAAGCAAATGTTCAAGTCGATTGTTTTGAAACAAATGTTCTCATTTTTTTGTAGCCAAGATGGGTCTAGTTGGTATGGGCAATACAATGGCCATCGAAGGGAAGAAAAATAATATACTTACAAATACTATTGCACCAATGGCAAGTTCTAGGATGACCAAGAGTGTAATGCCACCACGTGAGTTTCTTTTAGTAGCATGATAGTAGTAACATGATAGTCATGATGATGTTACATCTTTATGGGCAGGTTAATGAAAAATCAATTAGTTTTTAACTACCAGATCTTATTAAATTTTGTAATCTTAATCTGCTTAAGCTGAATTTGCTCTTGATAAAAACCACAGGGTTCAGAATTTTCCACAGTACTAGTGCTGAGCACTCCAGGACTTTCTGAAAACTTTCTCATATGTATAACTATATCATTCCAGCTGTATTTGAGGCACTGAGTCCGACATATGTTGTTCCACTGGTGGTGTACCTGTGTCATGAAAGTTGTGAGGAGAATGGCGGGCTGTTTGAGGTGGCTGGAGGGTGGATGTCCAAATGTAAGGAGAACCGAAGCTGGTTTTACAAAGCTCTTTTCCTGAATGAAACCAACAAAGATGAAGACATGGCCTTTTAGAGGGTTTTTAAAGCTATTTATAGAAGGTTTAAAAAGCCATTGCTCATTGCTAATGCATTACTTAAATCTTGGGGAGAGGCCTGATGATGCAGTCTGGCTCATACATGTAGTAATTGAGTGTGCAATGTAGCCACTAAATTATGCCACATATACAGTGAAGTTTAACCTACCCCAGGTTAACCTCCATGTCATGGAGATATTAATATTATAAATGCTTCATAGGTATTTTAAAGTAATGTTATTAATTTTCTGGAGTCATTAGTGCCATTGTTTGTGAGTAGAAACTGTATTTATTTTATGTTCAACAGTTCTGCATATTAGTTGTTTTAGAAATGACGACTGATTTTGAAAATTAAAAGTAACTAAATGTGTTCTCTCAGACAGACATGCACTGTTGTGGAATCAATAGTGATGTGCTGTTAAATGCATATGAATAATGTTATTGTTGCGATTATAATGCTATTTAATGCATATACGGTACCTTGTATGTAACATGGTTGTGCATATCTGTTGACAGCTACTGTTACTGTTATTTCTAGTGCGACTTGAAAGGACACAGGGTGCTTTGGTGAGAACAAAGGATGGGCCACTTCCAGCAGAATCAGGTAAGCTACAGCTTTTTTCGCCTTTATATATATATATATATATATATATATATATATATATATATATATATATATATATATATATATATATATGCACGTCCACGATACTGGTAACAGCAGGGGGTGATCATCTTTAAAAGTCTGTCAAAATATTCCTATTCCTATGCAATGTGGTTGCTTTAATGCAAAAGGGGGTGGATTTGTCTAATTATTACAGACAAATTTATGTTTCCAAATATTGCTGTGTATTTTAAATTTTTTAATTCTTAGCTGAAAATGACGCTAAAACAGCCCTTAAATCTGGGACACAGAATTACCAGTCTGTTTTGCAGCTGTACATTATGGAAAAGAAAGCTTTCAGAAAATTATTGGCATGTTTTTTGTCATATCAGGGATCATTTACGGCACACACACTAGAGAAAAACAAAAATTACTCTTCATCACAAGTTTTGTATGTATGTATGTATGTATGTATGTATGTATGTATGTATGTATGTATGTATGAATGATTGAATGAATGAATGAATGAACGAATGAACAAACGAATGAATGAAATGTTCCTATTGGTAGAAAGCTTTAATTTGAAAACAAATTGTAGTTTTCAGTTTCGATAATAAAATTGATTTCCATTTACCAAATCTGTTGATTAAAATGAAATTTATACCACTGCATACTGTTGCGTTAGGTGCATGAAATTGTTTTGGTATTATAGGTTTAAAACATGTGGCATTTGAATTAAAAAAAAAATAATACCAGGATTAAGTGATTTTTGCCCTTTGGATGATGGTCTTTTTGCCAGATTGCTACAACCCGTGTCTGTATTGTATTAATTGTATTGTGTAACTTCGTTTTTTAATAGGAGAGGGCAACTTATACAAGTTAGATATGATTGCATATGTCATATTTTGCTGTTTTTTTGTGCTTTTAGTTAGAGACAGTTGGGAGAAAATATGTGATTTTACAGATGCTACTTATCCAGTTGCAGGTCCAGGTAATATAAATAATGTTTCTCATTTGTTTTTTTTGTGTTTCATCAATGATGTCATTTATTAGGTTATAGGTCTTTTTTCTTGTTCACTTTTTACTGGTGTATAGTGCTGTTACTTTGCATGAAAATTAAATTTGATGCCAGTACTTTATTATTATTATTATTATTATTATTATTATTATTATTATTATTATTGATAGCATTTGTTTTCAGAAAATACCATGCTCTTGATGCAGAAGTTAGAAGAACTGAAGGCTGAAGGAGAGCAGAATTCAGATAACTCTGAGAAAGGCTTGGTAAATATACCCTTAGTGTCAGGGCACTACAAAGCTAGTTTGCTCACTATACCTTTCCATTTGTTAGCTTTACAGTGGTATGGCTGATGTGGGTTATATATGGAATCAAGATCGAGCTGGCAATACCGGAATCTAGAACCTAGGTAAGGTATATAGAAAAATAACCCACTGCCAAAGTGTTTACAGAAAAATTCATGTTGCACTGCTATGATGTGAACAGATAATTAAGTAGATACGCCATGCTCTTTCTTCCTTTGTAGACCAGCCTGATTGGTAAGAAAATACCTGCTCAGTCCTTCACGTACAATGCAGATGATGTGATACTGTATGCACTTGGAGGTGAGAATATTAAATCGGGAACATATTATAACTTTTAGAAAATGTTTGAATTCCCAATGTAATAACTGTTTAAAATAACAATTTTAAAAATTCATTGAAGCACTGTCATGCTTCAAGGGCAGATCCAGAGATATTTTCTGACAGTCTTCCAAATTATCTTTTTTGATCCATCCATAATNAGGTCTTGGAAGGGAGTATGCCTTGGAATTTGGAAAGAGAGGAGCTTCAGTTGTTGGTGAGTCTGTATGCAGACATGTATTACTGTTCTTAACACCTACTGAGCTTTAAAAATTTTGTTTGGTCCTCACCCCAGGAGCAGTATATGCACCTTATGCCAATGTGATCTGTTTTACATGTTTCTGAAATAGGACACTCGTAATTAAATAGGTGAAAACAGGAAATTGTAATTCTGATTTAATCATTAAAAATTATGTGAAGCAAGTTGACAGTGAAACACATATTGATATTTGCTATATTATAACCTATTAAGATATACTTCAATCACTGTTATGTATATACTGGTTTCCTTACAGTCAATGACCTGGGAGGTGACATGAAAGGTGGTGGTAAGGGCTCTGCTGCAGCTGACAAAGTTGTTGAAGAAATTAAAGCCATGGGAGGAAAAGCAGTTGCTAATTATGGTATGGACAAATTTCACCATTTAACCATACAGTTGTTTTTTTTATTAAACTTTATGTTTGGACAAAACATTTCTTCATTATATGAAAACACATTTATATTGAAGGATTTATTTTGTTTTAAACAGATTCAGTGGAAAATGGTGAAAGTGTTGTGAAGACTGCCTTGGATGCTTATGGTAGAATAGGTAGGGTTTACACTTGTGTGTAACTTATGCTATTGTGCCATACATGTAGTGGGGCTAAGTTCATTGAAGTTTATGTAATAAGTGATTATAGATATACATGTGGCGGGAAACGCTATGCACTTTGTCCTTGATACACTATTGTAACACTATATGGTGAGTTATTGATATCAGGAAATGACAAGGTAATGATATCAGGTCAAATGTATTTGTTGCTTTACTTATGTTTTTATTTAAATAGATGTTTCTTGATTTGTTTTTCAGATGTAGTCATCAATAATGCAGGCATTTTGAGAGACCGTTCCTTCCCCAGGATAAGTGATGATGATTGGGGTAATTAAGTCATGCTCTAGGGTATGGGATTTTATATCAAAGAGAGGAAAGAGGACAAGGGATGCTGCAATTAAAAAATATTCTATGTTTATTAAGTATTTAAAGAGCTTGTAGTTTGTATTTTCTACAGACGGTTATCAAGATTAAAGCTTAAAAATAAAAAGAACTGCCATGACTTAACCACTGCAAAAATTTGTGGATAAAACAAACTGATCATGAGGATCTGTATCAGACATGAACTTTTTCCACGGAAAAATGGAGTTCCGCGTTTTTTATTCAATTCTGATGGTTCCTGAGATTCAAGGTTAGGTGTTGAGTCCCATGATAAATGTTCAAAGGTTTTTTTTTTTCTGAACCTAGGCTCATGTCTGTGTATTATTGTTAAATGTTAAACTGTGTAAAAGTTTTTCAGTTATCAGTTATTATACTTTTACTTGAATTTGTTGAGTTGTTTTTCATTCACCAGGTATGGCACATTGAAAACATATTCTCTTAAGTAAAAAAATTTTATAACCAGATATCATCCAGAGAGTTCATCTACGGGGTTCATTTGCCGTCTCAAGGGCAGCATGGCCACACATGAAAAAGAACAATTATGGCAGGTAGGGATCCACTGTTATTGCACCAGTATATACATTGAGTAATACCTTTTAGGAAGTCTTTTGTTAGAACATGACTCTTGAGTTTAGTTTACAAATGCATGGTGATTATCTGTCATGCTGTGCATTATGCACAGTAAGATAAACTCTCACATAACTTGACATATACCATATTCAAAATGCTTGTATACAATGATGCATATGATTCATATATTTTATTTTAATGTACAGATACATAAATATATCATTATTCCTCAATCAAGCAAAGCACATTTTTGGTGATGTACTAGTATCCTTTGCTGACAATGTTTCAGGTTTATTTTGACAACATCATCTTCAGGATTGTATGGAAATTTTGGACAGGCCAATTATTCAGCAGGTATACATCAGCACAAGATTTTTAGTACTATTTACAACATTACTCATCCACTGCATGTGACATACAAAAGCATAATTATATTAGGCTCAGCCTCAAAATAATTTGCTCTTGTATGGGGCATACAGTGGACAGCAAGTAGATGTAACTTGTATGCAAAGTTATAATGCAAAGGTATAATTTTAATTAATTTAGATCTTTTGGGAGTATTCTGAAATGTATACTTTTAAACATTATTGAGAGTCCAGCAAATGTCCAAGTCGATTGTTTTGAAACAAATGTTCTTGTTTTTTTGTAGCCAAGATGGGTCTAGTTGGTATGGGCAATACAATGGCCATCGAAGGGAAGAAAAATAATATACTTACAAATACTATTGCACCAATGGCAAGCTCTAGGATGACCAAGAGTGTAATGCCACCACGTGAGTTTCTTTTATTTGTAGTAACATGATAGTCATGATGATACATCTTTATTGGCAGGTAAATGAAAAATCAATTAGTTTTTAACTACCAGATCTTATTAAATTTTGTAATCTTAATCTGCTTAAGCTGAATCTGCTCTTGATAAAAACCACAGGGTTCAGAATTTTTCACAGTACTAGTGCTGAGCACTCCAGGACTTTCTGAAAACTTTCACATATGTATAACTGTATCATTCTAGCTGTATTTGAGGCACTGAGTCCGACATATGTTGTTCCACTGGTGGTGTACCTGTGTCATGAAAGTTGTGAGGAGAACGGCGGGCTGTTTGAGGTGGCAGGAGGGTGGATGTCCAAATGTAAGGAGACCCGAAGCTGGTTTTACAAAGCTCTTTTCCTGAATTAAACCAACAAAGATGAAGACATGGCCTTTTAAGAGGGTTTTTAAAGCTATTTATAGAAGGTTTAAATAGCGATTGCTCATTGCTAATGCATTACTTAAATCTTGGGGAGAGGCCTGATGATGCAGTCTGGCTTAATTTGAGTGTGCAATGTAGTAATTTGAGTGTGCAATGTAGCCACTAAATTATGCCACATATACAATGAAATTTAACCTACCCCAGGTTTACCTCCATGTCATGGAGATATTACTATTATAAATGCTTCATAGGTATTTTAAAGTAATGTTATTAATTTTCTGGAGTCATTAGTGCCATTGTTTGTGAGTAGAAACTGTTCTTATTTTATGTTCAACAGTTCTGCATATTAGTTGTTTTAGAAATGAGGACTGATTGTGAAAATTTAAAGTAACTAAATGTGTTCTCTCAGACAGACATGCACTGTTGTGGAATCAATAGTGATGTGCTGTTAAATGCATATGAATAATGTTATTGTTGCGATTATAAAGCTATTAAATGCATATACGGCACCTTGTATGTAATATGGTTGTGCATATCTGTTGACAGCTACTGTTACTGTTATTTCTAGTGCGACTTGAAAGGACACAGGGTGCTTTGGTGAGAACAAAGGATGGGCCACTTCCAGCAGAATCGGGTAAGCTACAGCTTTTTTCGCCTTTCTATATATATATATATATATATATATATATATATATATACATATATATATATATATATATATATATATATATATATATATATACACACACACACACACACACACACGTCCACGATACTGGTAACAGCAGGGGGTGATCATCTTTAAAAGTCTGTCAAAATATTCCTATGCATTGGATTACAATGTGGTTGATTTAATGCAAAAGGGGGTGGATTTGTCTTATTATTACAGACAAATTTATGTTTCCAAATATTGCTGTGTATTTTAAATTTCTTAATTCTTAGCTGAAAATGACGCTAAAACAGCTTGCAGCTGTACATTATGAAAAAAAGAAAGTTTTCAGAAAATTATTGGCATGTTTTTTGTCATATCAGGGATCATTTACGGCACACACACTAGAGAAAAACAAAAATTACTCTTCATCACAAGTTTTGTATGTATGTATGTATGTGTGTATGTATGTATGTATGAATGAATGATTGAATGAATGAATGAATGAATGAATGAATGAACGAACGAACAAACAAAAGAATGAATGAAATTTTCCTATTGGTAGAAAGCTTTAATTTGAAAACAAATTGTAGTTTTCAGTTTCGATAATAAAATTGATTTCCATTTATCAAATCTGTTGATTAAAATGAAATTTATACCACTGCATACTGTTGCAATCTGGTGCATGAAATTGTTTTGGCATTATAGGTTTAAAACGTGGCATTTGAATTTAAAAAAAGATAATACCAGGATTAAGTGTTTTTTGCCCTTTGGATGATGGTCTTTTTGCCAGATTGCTACAACCCTTGTCTGGTTAATTGTATTGTGTAACTTCCTTTTTTAATAGGAGAGGGCAACTTATACAAGTTAGATATGATTGCATATGTCATATTTTGCTGTTTTTTTGTGCTTTTAGTTAGAGACAGTTGGGAGAAAATTTGTGATTTTACAGATGCTACTTATCCAGTTGCAGGTCCAGGTAATATAAATAATGTTTCTCATTTGTTTCTTTGTGTTTCATCAATGATGTCATTTATTAGGTTACAGGTCTTCTTTCTTGTTCACTTTTTACTGGTATATAGTGCTGTTACTTTGCATGAAAATTAAATTTGATGCCAGTACTTTATTATTATTAGTACCACCAGCGTGCACGCTGGGGGTACTCATGGTTTTAGTCCCGACCCGTCTCGTACGGCTCTGCTGGCTCCTGCGGCTCCGCCGGCTCCGCCGGCTCCGCGTACTGGCGCCGGATACAAGTCACCGTTTCTGCTTCTCCTCCTAGACTGTAAGGACCCATGTCCCCATCTCTTGGATTTAGGTCACATATAATCTCAACTTGAACCCCCTGATCTTTTTGTCTCAGTCAGTGCATTGGCCTGGGCATGACGCTCGTTGAAACACACCCTTGTCAAAATTTTTGAAAATTCAATACCAAATATCGCCCAAATCGAAGGAATTATGGCAAAAACTACTACAGAAGTCTGACTGAAAGTCATATATGAAGATTCCAGATATGCCCTTGGATTTGACTTTTGACCTTTATTTCAAGGTCAAACGGGCCAAAATTTTCTAAAAATCTTAATTTTTTGCGAATTTTTTTTAATTTCTGCTGATTTTCAGAAACTACACAGATCTAACCTATAATATTATGGGTAGTTGTTACCCTTTGGGTCATCTTTCATCTTTTTGAGTTTGGGGTCAATCGGTGCATTTTCATGAGAGTAGCGGCCATTAGATGCTGAAACTGAAAACTTTCTCTAATTCTGGAACCGTTAATGCTAGAGACCTCTTGCTTTTTGCATTTTGTAGAGCTTATCAAGTGCAACACAGAAGGTGGTGTCCATTTTTCCTTTTTTGATTCGGCTTAGGCGTTGCATTATATCAAAAAGTTCAGTATCCGATATTCAGTGGTGAAAATAAAATGTGAAATGTGAAATAAAATGTGAAATTAGCTGAGATACGCCCATAGTTGCTATTGAACATGAATAGGAAGTCTTATACTGGTAATCTGACTGTGACCTTGAAATTGACCTTTGACCTTCTTTTCACCATGAACTGCACTTTGCAAGTTTTCTGATTTTTATATCTCCAAAACTGACAAAGATCCGCCCATAGGTACTATTGAACTTGAATAGGAAGTCATATACTGGCAATTTACTGTGATCCTGAAATTGACCTTTGACCTAATTTTCACCATGAACTAAACTTTGCAAATTTTCGAGACCTTATATCTCTAAAACTATCAGAGATACGCCCATAATTACTGTTGAACTTGAGTAGGAAGTCATATACTGGCAATCTTACTGTGACCTTGAAATTGACCTTTGACCTACTTTTCACCATGAATTGAACCTTGCAAATTTTGTCACCCTTATATCTCGGAAAACTGACAGAGGTAGGCTTATAGTTGCTATTGAACTTAAATAGGAAAGCATATACTGGCAATCTAACTGGCCTTGAAATTGACCTTTGACTTACTTTTTATGATGAACTGTATTTTGCATGTTTTCTGGCCTTTATATCTCCAAAATTGGCAAAGATATGCCCATAGTTACTTTTGAACTTGAAAAGGAAGTCTTATACTGTGACCTTGAAATTGACCTTTGACCTTCTTTTTCACCATGAACTAAACTTTGCATATTTTCTTGCCCCTCATATCTTCAAAACTAGCAGTTATATGCCCAGTGTTGCCCCTTGGTTTTCTTTTTTATCAGCAAATATGCAACACTGATAATACATTTCAAGGAAAACCAATAGGCCTTTTGTCTAGAAAATCCCAGGAGTGATCAATGCGAGGAAATTACAGGTCAATTCGAAAATTGATAGGACCATTTTTACAGTTATGTTTTTTTTTTTTTTTTTTTTTTT